ATGGACAGCATTAACAGGAAGCCTTCGTCATCCACCTCCTCCTCCTCCTCCTCATCATCATCAGCATCAGCAGCAGCTTCATCAGCTTCAGCATCACTACTATCGCCACAGTCATCATTATCATCGCCATCATCAGTACCAGCATCGTCATCAGCATGCCAGCTTCGATTTCAAACGGCCACTCTTGATATTTACGCTCGCCTAATAGCTCACCCGACCGTCAGTTGGCCAGTTTTAGTGGATGGAAAGAAGAGATGGATGAATGAAGGCGGTCCTAGTCATGATCTTTTTTCTGGCAGTCTTGATAGTAGTAACGGTAGCAGCAGAGCTGATAATAGTAGCGGTAGAAGTAGTAATAATGGTAATAGTAGTAGTGGTAGTGGTAATAGCAATGATGTCTATAGTAAGAGTAAGCCGAACGGGTTAGTCTATTATGATTTATCATGTTTATCACTTTTGTTGCAGTAGTAGTCTATTGACTTTGCCATTTTTCTTCCATATAAAGGTTGGGAATGCATAAAACCGGCCTGAAACAACAACAAAAGCAACTGCTACAACAGCAGCAGCAACAACAACAACAAAGTCCTCAAAGTTTGATATACAAAGTGCACAGGAAAGCTCTTTATAGAGTGACGCATCTTTTAAAAGGTCTCCTGCAGGTTGGGGATGAAAATGTCGTTAAGATAGATGTCGGAAGATCGGACGGTCTTGTGCTTGTTGACGGCTTGAAACCTGGAAGAACTGAAATCAAAGTGAGATTCTTTCGTAATTAATTAAAGTTATGATTAACTAATTGTAATTGTGATGGATAAATTGTAATTATGGATGACAATACGATTGAAGATTGCAGTAATAATAGTCATCACTATAACAAATGATTGTCTTTCATCTGGCAGGTCATTTCAAACAACAACAACAACAACAAAGTACTTGCCACGACCGAAATCCGCGTCTCCACGGACCGAGTGACGTCAGACAGACTTGAAGGTCATCTGACGAGTGACATCAGTGTCAAGGTCAAACAGCAAATGGACTTCCGCGAGGTTTTGATTTTAGTCGTCGACAAAATTCCAGACATGAGTTCGAACCGGCGCGAATCCACTCTAGACGTCTGGGTTACTCAAGACGACGATACCGCATTACCGATAAAACTAATTGATTCTAGCGAATATTCTCTAAATATCGACAGTCTTGACGAGTCAGTGGTTCGAGTAGAAGCCGATCCGAACCGAATATCGAGTTTACCGAAAGTAGTTGCTAGAAGTAGCGGTTCTGGCGATTTGATTTCGTTGGCTTTGGCGTCCAGCCGCTACTGTGCTGTACAGAAGACGAGGCCCTTGGTAACGGGGCACGCCCAGGTCAAGGTCGTTTCGATGGAAACTGATGTTGCCCTGCTGACTCAGAACGATGGCGAGCATCTATTCGATTATCCGAGACGAGAAATCATTGAGTTGGATGAGGAGGTGGTTGTCAAGGTTCGTTGTGGAGATGGTGGTGCTTGTTATGGAGATGATGATTGGGATGATGGTGATGATGGTGAGAATGAGGATGTTGTTTGTGATGACAAATAGGAGGATTGCGTTATGACATGTACAATGGTGAAAATGATGACGATGACGACGATGATGATGGGTAGTACCAGAAAAATATTTTCACAACCAAATCAGAAGTTTGAGAGGAAGTGGGAGGTGGATGAGTGGAGCAAAAAAAACATGGCCGCTGCCGGAAATAACTTTAAAAGGCTAGAAAAACAATTTAGCATTCGTGTGTACTGTACACTACATGACAATCCAAATATTTGTCTCTTTCTTTCTGTGCGTATGGATGTGTGTGTTCGCGCGCGCGCGCGTGTGTGTATGTATCCTTTCTCTCTCTCTCTCTCTTTTTCTCTTTCTCTCTCTTTTTCTCTTTTTCTCTCTATTTCTTTCTTTCACTCTCTTTCTTTCTATGTATTTTGTGTGTGTAATGAAATGAACAAGAGAAAATTTAGCGATTTAAAAATAATACCCTCAACTGCAGCTACAAACCTCCATTGACAACCAGCAACAATAAGCCGAGCAACAACAACAACAACAATAATAAGTTTAACAACAACAACAATCATTTTGATGACGAATACGATGACAACAACAACAACATGAAATTACACAGCGCTAACAACAACAGAAATATCAACAAATTCAACAAAAATTTTTTCGAAAAATCTCAACAATCATCATCATCTTCTTCTTCTTCATCGTCATCATCACAAGCTTTATCGTCATCATCGTCGTCTTCGTCGACTCTGCAAATTGTCATGTTTATCATGCTGGGAATTTTTGGGCTGGCTATGGCCATATTTATGCTTAATTGTCTGCTCTACACGAGCTCTAGGTGGAGGAACCAAAAAATCAAAATGACCGATTTGTTTTCGCCAAAAAGTAGCAAGGTTAAGGAGGTCAGTTAGTTGAATGGCTGGAGGTCAGTTAGTTGAATGGTTGGAGGTCAGTTAGTTGAATGACTGGAGGTCAGTTAGTTGATTGGTTGGAGGTCAGTTAGTTGATTGGTTGGAGGTCAGTTAGTTGATTGATTGGTTGGTCGGTTGGTTGGTCGGTCGGTTGGTTTGTGATGTTGGAATGATTGATTTTAAATGGCAGTATCATAGAACATCCAGAACATTTCTATCAGACAGACACTTTCAATTTTCCAACACGGCACTCCACACATGACACGCAACACTGACTGCCCAGGTTCAAGACTGGGTCTGGATCGATAAGAAAACTCTGGAACGCAACGCAGTGGACACCAAATGCACGAAGGCCCTCATGTCTCCAGATGAATTCAGCAGAGCTTCAAAAGCTAACAGCAGCAGCAGCAGCAGTAGCAGCAACGTCGGCTGCCGTCTTAGCTGCGCAACAGATTTCAGCAGCGAAACATCGTGTGCGTCTGCTTTCAACGGCGGTGGCTCCAAAAATGGCGTCTACAGAGGCTCCGAATGCAGCGTGAGAATCGGCGGACCAATTACAGTCGATGGTTGTGGCCAGAAGTTAAGCAGCAGCAGCCAATCAGTGATTAGGAATCCGAGCGAGGGTAGAACGCGTTCGCAAGAATTTGTTGGTGGCAGTAGTGAACAGCTCGTAAATTTGATTGACAGCGTTGTCGTTGACAATGTTGGTGTCGTCGCTGGTAGTAGTGGCAGTGGTGGTTGTGGTGGTGGTGGTAGCTTTGTGATGGACAACATGAGCAGCGGAGTATTGGTGAATGATGATGGTGTTGCTGCTGCTAATGCTAGCAACAAAAACGGTATTAGTGGTGAGTGTGGCGTCGATACGAACGATTATGAAGTAGCAGCCACAGAAAGCGACCACCTCGTAAAACAATGCGCCATTGATTCAGACGTCGAGATGACAGAGTCAGTACGCTGCAAGCCAACCTACCCGACTGTCACCCATTGTAAGGTGACGATGATGCTGGAAGGGGAGTGTCGCTGGGACAATGGCGTTGGTAGCCACGACAGCAACAACAATTTCAATGTCGACAACGCCAGCAGTGATGCCAACAACAATAATACCGCATTTCCGAATCAACAACAACATCAACAACAACATCAACAACAACAACAACATCATCAACAACATAGAAGAGAGATGATAAATGAGAGAGGGAGAGTATCCAATAAGGGGAGTCGTAGTCATAAAAAATCTCGCCACAACAAGACAATCAGCAACAACAACAACAATAATATAATTCAAAATGATATCCCAAAAAAAAATCTAATTAACCGCCAAAAGGATTTTGTTTTTGAGAAGGACGATGATGACGTCAGCAATGAAAACAACAACAATAAAAACAATAATAGTAATAATGAAAATGATCGTGTCGTTGTAAAGAAAAGTCGCGGCGATGGAAATATGTCCCAAGATGCAGATGCAGACGCTCGTGGAAATAGAAAAAAAATTATGAAGCGCTACAAAAAGCAACTGCAGCAACAATTTCAACAACAACAACAATTTCAACCACAACAACAACAATTTCAACCACAACAAAAACAAGTTCTACCACAACAACAACAGGCTCAACCACAACAACAAGTTCAACCACAACAACAACAAGTTCAACCACAACAACAACAAGTTCAACCAGAACAACAACAAGTTCAACCACAACAACAACAGCAACATCAACATCATCACAAACGTCATCATCATCACCACAAGCAGCAGCAGCTTTCTTTACCACAAAAGGACCACCACGGCCAGCAACAACACCAACAACATCTAAAGAACCATCAACAGCAGAGTTTGCCAACGACAACATCAGAAATGGCGGCTGTTGCAGCGACTACAGCAGCTGCTCCAGCTCCAACTGCAGCGACAACAAAGAACGAAAAATTTTTATTCGATAAAAATGAATGGAATGAAGAAGAGATGGGATTATCGTATGAGGAGTTAATGAAATATTTTGATAATCTCAGGGAATCAATCGCTTGATTGATTTACTGACTGAAAGACTAATTAATTAATTAATTGATTAATTGTTTAATTAATAGATTGATTGATTGATTGACTGATTGGCTGATTGATTAAATTCATTCGAACAGGAAGAAAAAAAGATGAACAGTTTGTATAACCTAAGAACATTCTATCACAGCTGAAATATCTGTAACATATTATTCATAATATTTCTATAATTCATTCATAACTTAATTATAATAAATTAATTTCTATGAATTATTCATAGATACCATGTTTATTCATTTAATAAATTCATTCATAACAATGTCAAATGAAACAATATACCTATATGGCTATATATTGTATATATTTATGTGCTTCAGTCTCTACAAATGCTAACGTATTTCCATATTATATATATATATATATATATATATATATATATATATATATATATATATATATATATGTATTTCAATAATGTATATATATATATATATATATATATATATTGTAATTGTATTTAATAATAGTGAAAGGATTTACACTTTCTAATTTGTATTATTTTAGTTTTACATCATTTGAATAACAATGGACAAATGCGTCTGTCTGTCTGTCTTTCTCTCTCTCTCCCTCTTTCTTTCTTTCTCTTTCTCTCTCTCTCCCTCTCTCTCCATAAATAAATTATGCAAGTGTACGACTGACTGGTTTTTTTTTTGTATTTTTTTTTGTGTTGTTTCACGCCCACCCTTGACGAAAAAAATTTCATAAATTTCGAGATTTTTATATTATTTAATGTAATTTATTGATCAATTATTTAATTAATTAAATAATTATTTTGTAAATTATTTAATTAATTGAATAATTATTTTGTGAATTATTCAAATAATTGAATAGTTATTTTGCAAATTATTCAATTGATTTATTGAGGTATATTCGTTAAATATAAAATTCGTTACGTTATTTCAGTTTTTTACTATGAAAATGTTGAGTTTTGTATGTCTTTAAAGTTTATTTATTCATTCATTTGCTCGTTCAATCATTCATTCGTCCATTTCTTACTTATTCATTCACTCATTCATTCACTCACTCATTCATTCACTCATTCACTCATTCATGCATACACATACATTCTCTCATTCATTCATCATTCCTTCTTTCGTTCAGTTGCCGAATCGATCGATCCATCAATTTTTTTTGCTGGCTTCGTCCTGGAACTACTTCAATCAATCTCAGTTATGTACTCTCTCTCTCTCTCCTTCTCTCTCTCTCTCTCTCTCTCTCTCTTTCTCTCACCATACATAAATACATACGCGTTTTGTATATACATAATACATGAATATAAAAATACCTTTCATTTCTAAAATATCAAAAAATTTATAAACTTACAAACGCTGATGTTTATGAGAAGTTTATAAAAGAATGAACGAACGAATGAATAAATGATTGAATGAATGAACGAACGAACAAAAGAATGAATTGAATTTATCTGTAATATTGTATTTTCGCTTGGTTTGTTTGCACTCGATTTGACGTTTAATTGATTGAGTGGTTGGTGGGTTAATTGATTGATTGATTAATTGGTTGGCTGGTTAGTTGGTTGGTTGATTGGTTGACTGATTGATTAATCGGTTGGCTGGTTGGTTGTTGGATTGATTGACAAAACAGACAAGTCATTTTTAAAAATTATTTTAGTTTATTTAATTGAAATGTGTCCCAAGTGAAAATTGATAAAATGTGCGAATAAAAATGTTGTTAAAAAATGCCGCGTTCGTTTTTTCTTTACAATGTTTTTTCTCTTTATTTACATTTTTTATACACAATGTTTATGACGTCATTATCAACGTCATCATTATTATCATTCGCCGTCGTTGCTGTTATAATTGCCATCGTCATCGCTATCATATTCATCGTCGTCGTCGTCGTCATCATTCCAACTTCATATCCGCCCTCCCATTCATCCTTAACAACCCGTAGCTGAAGTTGAGAGTCAGCAACTTGTTCATCTTCCTCTCCTGTTCTTCGTCTCCCGGAAAAGCATACACTTCCGGAAAGATAAGAGCTCTCTGCAAGGTCGGCATTTGACTGATTTCTTCCAATAGGCGCACGAGGTTGTCACGCGACGGTGGGATGTAGTCCTGGATGCAGATTATTTTCAGACAACTGCTTCCGTTTCCGCTGTTGTTATTGATGATGGTGATGTTCGAGCTGCAGATGCATTGACGAAGGATCGATATCTGAGTGGTTGGTGGGTTGGTTGGTGGGTGGGCTGGTTGGTGGGTGGGTGGGCTGGTTGGTGGGTTGGGTGGGTTGGTTGGTTGTGTGGGTTAGTTGGTTAGTTGTTCATATTATTTTTTACTATAACCGTCATTATCATCATCATCACCATCATCACAATCATCACCACCACCATCATCATCACAATCATCATCAGCAGCCCACTTGCGAGTTGATGTCTAGAGAGCAGAAGGACACTGAGAAGCATGTTATCATCTGCATTCTACTCACCATAGATACGATCAACTGAGTGAATCGGTGAATGAATTCATAATTAAATGATGGATAGATGAATGAATTGGATGAATAAAAAAATAAACGTTTGAACCAACAAGTCAATCAAACAACCAATCAATCAGACAACCAATCAATCAAACAACTAATCAACCAGTCAACCAACCAACCAACCTGATCACATTCTTTCAAGTTGTTGCAACTCAAATTCAATTCTCTAATTCTCCTCAACGGTTTCCAAGTTAGCATACTGATAAGATCCTCCTCGCTCAATCGACAATCCTTTAAAGTTAGATGTTCTATGCTGTTTTCACTTAATCCAGATAGAAGGTTCCCTAAGTTACCTGATTGGTTGGTTGTGTGGTTGACTGGTTAGTTGGTTGGTTGTGTGGTTGATTGGTTGGTTGGTTGTGTGGTTGATTGGTTGGTTGTGTGGTTGATTGGTTGATGGGTTGATTGGCTGATTGATTAGTTAGCTGTTGATCAGTTGGATGATTGATTAAGAAGTTAAATACTCGTTAAAAAATTTAAAAAAATGTTTAATCATGCTTAATTAATTGATCTATTAGTTGACCAAAAAACCAACAGACAGCAAAAAAACTTATTCCTCGAAACCCCCTCTATCCCAACCCTTAAAACCCACCACCCCAACACACCTCTCAAATTACAGTAACTCAAATTAATCCGACGTAGCATGGAGAGCGGCTTCAAACGCGTGGCCACCTCGACTAACATGAAGCCGTTGGTGGCCGCATCGATACAGCCCGGTAGGCTAAGAGCGACAAGGGAGGAAAATTGACCAAGGGCTTGGTAGAGGCGCGTCTGTCTGTCGCAGTTGTACGGTAGAGTGGCGTCTTCATACTCGAAGTGGGTGACATACTGATGGAGAGATGGATGGATGAATGGATGGATGGATGGATGGATGGATGAAGAAATGGATTGATTGATGAATGACAAATGAATGAATGGATATCCACAACAAACGTCCCACATGCACATTTTGTATGCACGGGCAATCATCGTATCACGGCGTATGATAGCGTTTGAGTTTCGGACAGGCAGTATTCGACAACGAGAAACACGGCACTTCTACCGACTGAGCTAACTTGCCAGTCAATTAAATTTAATTGGAAACATTTTGTGGACTTTATGTGTAGAAGATTAAAATGACCAACCCTGGTGTTGAGAACTGAACTCAAGGCATCGAGTGGCAAGCAGACGTCTGACAGCGGTTTCATCCATATCTTATATTTCATGATTGATTGATTGGTTGATTGATTGGTTGGTTGGTTGATTGATTGATTGATTGACTGTTTGATTGGTTAGTTAGTTGGTTGATTGGTTTGTGGTTTGTCGACTGATTGAGAGATAGCAATATAAATTCATGTAATTCTAGAATCTAGCATTTATCGTCTCGTAATTATGTTTACATCAAATTATCATTTTACATTGAACGAACGAACGAACGAACGAACGAACGAACGAACGAGTGAACAAACGAACAGACAACCGCTAAGTAATCAAATATAAACTTTAGACGTCTTGAAGTTGAACGGTGTCAAGTACTGCAAACTCAAACCGATCGGAACATCGTCGATATTTATGTGCATGTCGGTCTCGATTATTATCGGATCTGAATATAATTACGTCATATTCGAATATAATTTATTAATTGTATAATAATATTAACATAAACACACACACATACATACATACACACAAACACACACACACACATACCTATACAATTTCCGTGCAGGAATTCGGCATCAATGTTTGAATACACGGCCATGATGCGATCGACAAAACAGTTGACTTTGTCTTTGCTTATTTCTTATAATTTCATAACAATAACTATAATAATAATAATAGTAATAATAATATTAGTAATAATAATATTAGTAATAATAACTATAATAATAATAATAGTAATAATAATATTAGTAATAATAATATTAGTAATAATAATATTAATAATAACTATAATAATAATAATAGTAATAATAATAATAGTAATAATAATATTAGTAATAATAAAAATAATAATGACCAATAGTTTCAGACATGTAATTGTGTAACTTCTCGACGGTTCTCTCACGTGGTTTCATCCATAGAACTGGCAGACGACTAAGTTCTTTGCATAATCGTCTGTCTGTGTGTATGTATGTGTGTGTGTGTTTGTGTATGTGTGAGTATGCGTGTGTGTGTGTGTATGGGTGTGTGTATGTGTATTAATACATGTATGTTTGTTTGTCTGAGTTTATTAACATTGAAAGCAGTCACAATCAGCATCGTTAACGTCATTCCGAGACGAAATTACCGATCAATTACCATTACGAAACGAAATGGACCTTTTCCGAAACCCGTGAAGTCGACTCTCTTCAGCAGTGACGTCACGTTCAATTTCAACAAGCCAAGTACGATGCAATCTATCAGGGTGACGTCATCGTGACCTTGACATTAAATATTGTTGTTATTGTTATAATAATAATTATAACAATAATTATCATAATATTGTCAAAGGTCACCGGCCAGCCAGCTGACCTTCAAAGGGCAAGGTCAAATAATCGTCCACGAGGGCATCTTCGCGGGGTATGTGGTCGAGAAGGCGAAGAAGTTGGGATGGCCAGGTGCTGATCAGATGTTCGATGGACCTGGGCTCCCTAAACAAGATGGCCTCCGACAGTAGGTGGGGGTAGCATGGAGAGGGGATGTGACGGTTATCCAGGAGGTGCAATAGGGGGGTCGAGGGCTGGACGGTGTGACTGTTGTAGTACGTCGACTGGCAGGCTAAAAAGTTGTAGCAGATTTGGTGAAGAGGCCTAAGCGGTATGTATGCGTGTATTATTATTTTAACACCATTCAAATGTGCCACATTCATCTTAGTTGGGTGTTCAAAACATGGATTAATGATCATTTTACGACCTTTGTAATGAAAAATTTAAACAAACCTTTTGTGTGAGGTACATTTTTTATGAATTTTAAAAAATTTTTATAATATTTTCTGACGAAGGATTTTTTTATAAAAACAAAAAACCTCGGCGATCTGATTGGCTCGTTGCTGACAGGATCTTTCAGCAGTATCAACTCACCATTATTATTGTTGTTGTTGTTGTTGTAGACGAGATGGTAGAAAATTTGTCTGTCGGTTATGAAGGGCGGGTGACGAAAGTGGTTGGGGTCGAAATTGAAATTGCCCCCGTCGTAATCTACGTCATCAAGGGCGTGGTTCATTTTGTTGTGGGGTAAATTATTATTACTGTTGTTGATGATGATGTTGTTGTTGTTGTTGCTGTTGTTGTTGTTGTGGATGCTGTTGTTGTTGCTTCTGAGTTAATTGCGGCAGATGTGATATAGATGTTGTTGGTTTGATTAATTCATTTTATTACCAACGCATTTCACGTAATTGCTCATGTTGTTGATGTTGTTGTTGTAGAATTGATGTTGTTGCTGTTGTTGTTGATGATGATGAATGGTGTTGATGTTGTTGTTGTCGTTGTTGATGTTGTTGTTGATGAATGATGTTGATGTTGTTACCGAAAATTTTATAAACTAATACCATTTACAATAGAATCGACTTCCTCTCGTCATTTCGTTAAAATCCCAAACAACAAGTTCAAAAATATCTTCTTAAAACGTATTAAACATGCACGTACAACCATTTTATACAGTAAAATAATAACAATAATAACAATAATAATAATAGTAGTAGTAGTAATAATAATAAATTTATTTTTTTACTGGAAAATTACTAAATTATGAAATTATGATGATAGCCCTTCAAATGCGACTTAATCAGGCATAGAAACGCACTTAATTACTACGTGTTATTAATATTTTTATTAATATTATTTATATTATCTATATTATTTAATAATAATAATAATAATAATACTAAAAATAATTAATTAATAATAATAATAAATTATGAATAATAACAGCAATCAATAATAATAATAACAACAAAAACAATTTGTCGAAATCATCATTGGTAGGAATAAATTAGTTACATAATGTTATGGCTTATAACTTGTATATATATATATATATATATATATATATATAATATATATATATAATATATATATATATATCTACAAACATGTTTTGTGAAAAGCTGTGCAAATGTTCAACGAAATGAATGATATAAAATCTTAGAAATACATACATACATTCATGCATGCATGCATACATACGTACATACATATATACATTCGTACGTACATACATAGGTACATACATACACACGCATACAGTATAGGAATGTATATTTTTTTTTGTATGTATGTTTGTATATATAGCATGATACAAACCAAACTTTTTTGTAAATAGGCAAAGCAACTGCATCCATAAAGTGATAAATATGTATGCGTGTGTCTGTGTATGTATGTGTGTGTATGTGTGTATGCGTGTATGTATGTATGTATGTATGTATGTATGTATGTATGTATGTATGTATGTATGCATGTATGTATGTATACAAGTATGTGCTTATTCTTATTAATACCTGTGTCGATATATTTTCATTTTATTATTACTACCAGTTTTAGGAGTAGTAGTAGCTGCAGTGACAGCTGTTGCAGTAGTAGTAGTAGTAATAGTAGTAGTAGTAGTAATAGTAGTAGTAGTAGTAGTAGTAGTAGTAGTAGTAGTAGTAGTAGTAGTAGTAGTAGTAGTAGAGTTATGTCTGCTTGTGTTTTTCTACTCTTAAAATAATTTCGAACATAAAGATCAAAATCAACTCGTTTTATTCAGTATGAAACATTAAATAAAAATAATTAAGATGAATAATTGAGAAGTTTTTTAGCCGCCTCTCTCAATCACAACAAAGTTTTTCCGTATATAAATCAATCACTTCTTCAATCAGTTAAACCTCCAGTCAATCAATCAACCACACCAATCAACTAACCAAATATTCAATCACCTACAAACGCATGGATAAGTTAACTGATTAATTAGCAAACTAATCCATCCAATCAATTCACTCACCCACTCCCCAACCAGCCAACCAACCAACCAACCAATCAACCAACCAACCAACCATCCAGCCAACCAATCAACCAACCAATCAGTGAATGACACAATTAATCCTTAACCATAACCATAATCCTAAGTTCAAGATAACAGAAGACGATTAAAATGCCGGCTATGATGCCAAGTGCAATGTGGTTTTGCCAGAAATCCAGTGATGTTTCGTGTTGTATGCCTTGCTCTTCTAAGTAATCGTTTCCTTTATATGTGACGCTGGTCGGTTGGTTGGTTGATTGGTTGGTCGGTTGGTTGGTTGGTCGGTTGATTGATTGATTTGGTTAGTTGGTTGGTTGATTGGTCGGTTGGATGGTTGGTCGGTCGGTCGGTTGATTGGTCGGTTGGTTGATTGGTCGTTTGGTTGGTTGGATGGTCGGTTGGTTGATTGTTTTGGTTAGTTGGTTGGTTAGTTGATTAGTTAGCTGATTGATTGGAGGCTAACTAATTGACTGAATGGCTGGTTAGAAGATAATGTTCACAAAAGCATGGCTTACTTGGGGATCAAAGTATCATTAGCGTACATCTGGTATTCCGCATTCTCGATCTCATTGACAAGCAGAGTCTTGAAACTATATCTAGACAAATTTTTATACTAACATACAAACCCACACACACACGTACACAAACACACATACATATACACACAGACAAACCAACAAACACATACAAACACGCACATACAAACAAACAAACACGTACAAACAAACACGTACCTAACAATACTAATATACTGGACCCACTTAATGTACGTTGACATTGTTTTCAGATTCACCAGCAAGCCTCCATAAACCTGGAAAATATTTTTTGGATATTATTTTACACTATTACTACTACTGCTGTTACTACCACTACTACTACTACCACTACCACTACTACAACTGCTACTACTACTACTACTAATACTGCTACTACTACCTCTACTGCTACTACTACTACTACTACAACTGCTACTACTACTACTACAACTGCTACTACTACTACTACTAAAATGGTTACTACTACTACTACTACTAATACTGCTACTACTACTACTGCTCCTACTACTGCTACTACCACTACTACTACTACTGCTGCTACTACTACTACTACTACTGCTACCACTACTATTACTATTACTACTACTACTACCATTACTACTACTACTATGGCTGCTACTACTACTGCTGCTACTACTGCTACTACTACTACTACAACTACTACTAATAGCCACTAACCATCATAACGACATAGACCATTCCTACGTAAATGTTGGCAAGAGCGAGAACTCGGACAGAGGCACTGATGACGAAAGTTAAAATGGCAGCCACCAATGTGGTCAGGAAGAGAGTGAGGAAGTAGATCCCAAACTTTATTGGGTTCCTGTCAAGTCCTGGATTAATTGAGTGTGTGTGTGTGCGTGTGTGTGTGCGTTTGTGTGTGTATGAAAGTGTGTGTGTGTGTGTTTGTTTTTATGTGTATGAAGGTTTGTGTGGGTTTCACTATGTATTCTTATAACTGTATGTATGTATATGTGTGTGTATGTGTGTGTGCGTGCGTGCGAGTGCATGAGGTTGAATAAAATTAGCATAAATTGTAAACAGCTGACCAATCATGTAGTAGGTTATGGCGGCGAATAGGAACATGGGGACGATGCGTAGGGGTATGAGATCACAAAAAATTTTTGAGAAAAAGAATACTGACACTCTGTAGAAGCCGCTGTGCATTTCGTGACTGATAGATAGATGGATGAATGAATGAATGAATGAACGAATGAACAAACGAACGAATGAATGACTAGATGAATAAATAAATGAATACATGATTCAATCAATCAATAAGTAATGAATGAATTAATGAATGAATTAATGAATGGATGAATTGCCAGCATGTAAATAAATTTATGAATAAATAGATCTATTGACAGATGTGTGCAGCATACAGACACACACAAACACACACACACACACATACAAACACACACACACACACACACATACAGAAAGATGACTCTCTCCTTTAGGAAAACTTCAACGGCCGACAAATTTCCAAACAGTTGGACCATCACGATGAAGAAAAATGCACCCACCCTTGACGATAATAATAACAATAATAATAATAATAATAACAATAATAATAATAACAATAATAATAATAATAATAATTGTCATCAAAGAATTAATAACAACAATAATAAATAGCAACGAGTATAATGATGATTAGAAATATGATGTTGATGGTGATGATGATGACCTGTTTTGTATGGCCTCTGGATACCTCTTGCTTAGATCCCAGTAAAACAAGCCAACCATGAATGCAAAGAACATGGTCATTGTTATCTGACGATGATGATGAAGACGACGATGACGATGATGATGATGGAGACGACGATGAAGATGACGATGAAGATGACGAAGACGACGACGATGAAGACGATGATGATGAAGACGATGATGATGATGGGTTATTACAATTATTATAATTAGCAGAGCAAATGAGTGAAAGACCTGAGAAATGGAGGCGGCTGGATTTCTGACGACGTTCAGAAGACTCCGCCTTGATACATACTTCAACTACGTTAACATAACCACTATTAAACCAACTATTAACTATTAATTAACATCTTGGTTAATATTAATTAGAAATTATCATGCAAAAACCGCGAGATAAAGCTTAGCTAATTAGCATAATTTATGCGAACTTGATCTCGCAGCGAGGTGGCGTACTTGGAGCTGTCGGCGGCCACGAACTTTGGGTTGGCCTCGAATAATTTCATCTTCCGGTTCAAGGTTTTTTGGATACTAGGATGATGATGATGACGATGATGATGACGATGATGATGACGATGATGGTGACGATGATGATGAAGATGATGATGATAATACGATGATGATGAAGATGACGATGATGATGACGATGATGGTGACGATGATGATGACGATGATGGTGACGATGATGGTGACGATGACGATGATGACGACGATGATCTCTTTTTTAATTCATTTTGAATGGTGAGCTACGTAGAGGACACTACTATTCATTTAATCCTAAC